AGTCTCAACTTATCAAGTGCAGTTTGAGCAAGAGACCCAGTGCTCGCGTCTATCACGCTGGGTGAATCTTTCACTGTTCTGAAACCAAATGTGGTTAAATCATGAAGATGGCATTGAGTATCATTTTGTCTCTAAAAAAACACTGAGGGAGAAACATGCTCAGGACTCATCAAAAATACATTAATGGATCTGCTTAGCCATCATACACTTTCTATTTTGTAAATACTTACATTTAATTTTAAACGTGTGGCTGCTGCATTTAATGCGACACTGAAGACTGCAGTAACAGCTGCGGATTCAGTTTTGCCATTGCAGGTATAAATTACATTTTAAAATATATTTTCTACATTTTATAATATGACCAAATAAATGCAGCCTAAAAGACTTATAGCAAACATCTTACCAAACCCAAACTTTTGAATGGTGGTAGTGTATGTGGGTATAAGACAACAAATTCTACTATATAGTGACTGTATTAAAGGGATAGTTCAACTGGAAATGATAATTCTGTCATCATTTACTCACCCTCAAGTAGTCTCAAACCAGTATGAGTTTCTTTCTTCCGTTTAATACAAATCATGATATGTTTCACTTTCTGGTCCCCGTAGACTTTCATAGTATATATATATATTATTTTTTTCATATTATGGAAGTCAATGAGGACCAGAAACTGTTTGGTTATGCACATTCTTCAAAATATTTTCTTTTGTATTATGCAGAAGAAAGAAATTCATACACGTTTGGAACAAGTTGAGGGTGAGTAAATTATGACAATTTTCATTTTTGAGTGATCACTCACTTTAACTTATTAATTGTATTTCATCAGTATTAAGCGTGAATTAATACCAAATCAATGGAAATACCAGAAATTATTTTTCTCCGTTTCAGCACTGGTGTAGTTACTGTGTTTTGCCTTTGTATTGTAGCAACTATAGTGTTTTTTAATGTTCTTCATGTGGCTCTAAATGACACCAAACTGTGCAGTAAATGTTCAAAGAAAGGAACTCTGCATCACCACAACCCTCAAATCCAGCCAGACAACATGGCACTTTGCTCATTTTTATTGATCAGATTTAAATACAATGACAGGGTCTACCTCCGAAGGAAATAAATTCAAACACTGTTTCTGTATGGCGGGCAAAAGCGGGAAAAGAAGAAACGATGACCGTTGAGTAAACCTCACAGAGTAGGCCGAGAGACGCTTGTAAAGGTGCTGGCAGCAGTTCTTTTGCCACAGAAAAAGAGAAAACACACATCCTATACAAACGCCCAGAAATGTCACTGAACACTCGGATCACATCAGAGAGAGAGAGAGACAAAAATACGCTCAGTAAGTTCACTTGGTTACTTTTGATCTAACTTCAAAATATCCATATATATTATATACTGAAATATAGAATCTCATGATTAAGGAGGCGTTTTCTCAGCAAGCTGTTGAGTTCATGGTTGCTCTGTGCATCCTCCTCACTTCTTTAAATGTCTTGCCCCAAAATATAGAAATCTGATTGGGCAGATCAGGTTTGCTAGGATGGGGTTTGACAGCTGGTGATTGGCTAAAAATTTACATGAAAAAGGTGATTGGCTAACATGTCAAAATTTAAGATTAAGGTAAGTACGTTGGTCCTATTTGAAGCAGCTACAGGTAGAGTTATCTGTAGCCTACTCGCTTTAAAATAAAATAAAATAAGAAAAGGATAAGAAACAAAGCCCTTGGGCAGAAGTGAGGATATGCACAGAGTATTAAAAAAAGTAAAAAAAAAAAAAACAAGAGAGGCAAATGTTCAACATTAGAAAAAAAATAAGAGTATACTGATGTTTTGTTTTTCATGATTTTAGTTTTTTTGTGTTCTCTGCGAATACATCTCGTCTTCCACAAGGTCTTTGGAACAACGACTTAGCGGCGGTACCCGAACTCATCCGCGTCATCATCACGGAAATCTCCATAACGCCAAATGTTGAGCTGCAAATGAAACGGAAAATTCATCAATTAAAAATAGAGTTAAAATATAGCTCTAACTGTACACATTTAAAAAACAATTCAATTACTTACAACTAAAATTAATTCAGATTTCAAATGCAGTTTGGAGACTTTCATTGTGGCTTTGCTGAAGCTAGGCTGACGAAATAGTATTACATTCACACTTTATATATATTTCAAGCACTGTACTCTTGCATATATGATACTTTTATTGACCCTGCATTGAAAGCATCATAGATTATAATGAAGACAAATCCTCAAAGCAGCAGATCTTTGATGTTTTAGATGGGCTTCTTCTGTGCATGCGGACATGTAGGGTAAAATAATTGTTGAAATAATTGTTGAAAGGAAAAAAATATTTGTGAAACATTGGAACCCCCCCCCCCAAATTCTAAATAACTGCAATGAAACATTAATAAGCAACAAAGTGGGGCTTTAAGTCATTTGACAGCACTGATTCACCATCATTAAATTCTGATAAGCATTTCTGCTCTTGTATCTGTGAGACTGAGGCGCAGATGGCCAGCGTGTAGACAGGATCATTAAAACACGAGCCGGTCTCTAACATAATCACACCTCAGTAATAACGAGGCGAATGGTCGTTTACGGTGCTCTTTAACTCTAGTCCTTTCACATCCAGTCACGCGTGAAGGCTTTACCTCCAACAAATTCCATCACAGCCCTTTTATTTTACATCGGTTTTGCCACATAAAACAGCGAAATGTTTTATTTGTGCGATAGTGAATCGTTCTGGCTTCAGAGATTCTTAGGGAAGATGGGAAATCATTTTGTGTGTCATAAAGAGGCTTTTAGGTTTTCTCTCCATTTCTAGCATCGGTGTGCATGTGGCTGTTAACTCGGAGAGAATTAAGCGAATTAATATCTATGATAATTAGCGCCATCGTTAGCAGGGACATCATCATCAAGCTCTTGGGTTGGCATGGTTCTCTCTTCTGATCGAGTCTTGTTAAACAGCCATTGGCCTGTCATATGGAGCATGTTTTAGTCAAAAGATTGTTCGATGTGCACCACGCTACACAAAAGTGGATGTTACAGGTATCAAAGCTGGATGTGTGAGCCAAAGCCAGTTCTGAAAACAAAACAAAATTCCTCATTGTTAGTTAACGTTATTGCATTTACTAATGTTAACTAATGGTTTGGTTGGTTGATGTTTTTATGTCATGTCAGTTTTCTGTTTTCATTACAAGTTGAAATAGTTTTAGAGAAATTTAAAACCTATATCAGGTTATATCAAAGTACATTTAGATAAAAATTCTAAAATTGATTCAGGTTTGAATCTGTTCAAAATTTCTTCAAAAGTGTTTGAAGAGTAATTAACATTTCCTAAAAGACTTCAAACCACCACAATTTAATAAAATACTTAAAACAAACTGAACTCTGGCATAAAGAGCATACTGGTGAATCTTCATTTGAATTTGAGTTCTTAACTTCATTATGAACTTGTGTGTCATTCTGGAATGTCCTATTTGGCATTATGCATATATGAGCTGATCAGTGATTGCTGAAAATAAAGATGCAACTTTTACCCACAGCAGGGTTAATTTTATACACTGATCTCATTCCTTTTGCCACTTGTTAATTGCGCAAGATACTGCGGTACGTTTTAAGATCTGAGGGTGGTATGAAACACCTTTCAACATCTGTGGGTAGTGCTTCTTTAGCAGCAGCGTCCGCTTGTTTGGTAACTAATGGGACCTTATCTAAATGCTATCTATAAATAAATAAATTGCTGCAAAATAGTGTGGTTGACCAATCAGAATTTAGAGCTGTGCGATAAAAAGGAAAGAATTAAAGAGGAAGAGAGTTTAAAATTGCAGCTCTTACCCTGGCACTCTTGGCAGATTCTTGACCATTCAGATATTCAGTCACCTATAAAAAAATAAATAAAAAAAGAGTGCATTTAGACAGAGAAAGGCGTAGTGTTGTGTTTAACTTCTTTAACATACCCAACCAACATCCTTCAGCATCTTCAACAAAATAAATCACACACACACACACACA